GTCAAACCCTCGCCTCCTTCCTCCTCTACCGTTGCCGTGTCACCGCTTTCAGCATTGCCGTCACCATTCGTCTCCTCTTCGTCACTGGTCGTCGCCTCTCCGTCTCTAATCGTTGCCGGTCGTCCCTAATTTCGATTTTCAGCAACACATGGGTAGATCTATATTGGTTTTGATGTCTTGACTATTTCTCTTGTAGTGTTGGAACTTTGTTTGTTTTAAAATGATTTAATAATTGTTCCGTCTCGTAGTCAATTTCGATTATGGATTTCTCCTCGATTTGGATTATAGGTTTGAATTTTTGAGTTCCAATAGATTACCTTTTGTTTATAAGGTTTAGTGTTGTTCACTTACTTTTTCATTATTTAGTAAGTTGGTGTCTATATATATATATGTTGGTCTAGTAGGTTTTGGAAAACTCGTTTGATTATATTTTCATGTTAAATAAGTTGTGTTGTTAATTTTCGTTAAGTCATGTTTAATTTTTTTTACAGGATATAACTTGTTTTATTTTGTTATATGTAATTGAAGCAAATATACTATATAACACAAACTCTTATTTGCGGTCAGATAATGCTTTTTTGTTGTAATATGTGTTAGACATTTGGAGAACCTTACGTATTTTTTAATATTAAAAATACTTTTCAATAACGTTTTATATATGTGTCGTTTTAAATCACTGAAAATTAACAAAATTGAAGGTAAATTGAACCAAAAACTGGAAAACAAGTAGATATGTGGTCTCTGGAACAATTTTTAGCGACATCATTGGATGTCGCTAAATATTATTTCAGTAGTGACAAGAAATCTGTGTCATTAAAAATTATATTTAGCGACAACCGATGTCGCTAAAAATCATTTTCAGCAACATTGATGCTTGTCGCCGAAGATAATATTTAGCGACATCTGCAGTTGTCAATAAATATAATTTTGAGCGACTTCGTCTTCTGTCACTGAACATTGTTTTAGCGACATTTGCGGTTGTCACTGAAAGAAAGTTTTAGTGACAAGTTGGAGATGTCGCTGAAACTTTAAAAGACGTGTTATCTGTGACGTTCTCAGCAACAAACAGGTTATCGTCGCTGAAAGTTTTAGCAACAAATTGTGGTTTTCAGCGACATTTATTGCGCGTCTCCGAAACTCTTTTTTCATGTAGTGACTACGGCCACATTTTAGACATTTAATTCCTAGAATTTTGGGTTTTCGTAAGGCTTGTTGAAAATTGGAAAAAACTTCCCTCGTGAAGATTCAAGAGGAAGCTCTTCTTGATTTCGTGCATGGTCCAGTAGCATATAAACAAGTAAATTTTTTAATTTTGTATAATTCCTATGTATTCCACTTTTCTATATGCTAGTGGACCACTGATAGGCTTCAAATAGATAGTGAATTATGGGTCAAACTAAGGGTAATTGTGTGCCAAGAATGTGAGATACAAGATAATTAAGCCACAATACTTTGAGAAATTCCAGAGGGAACCATCAATGCATAGATTCTAGTAGATTTAGTAAATTTTTGAGTGAATGCTAAATTGTGGATGTTTAGTGCAAAGAGAAAAGTATGGTGCATTCGGAGCAGGTGAAGCATTAGTGGAATAGATTGGTGCTGCTGAAGGCTAAGGGCAACTAGTTGAAGTCGGAAGCAGGCTAGCGCTTTGGAAGCTATAGAGCAGTGGCTGGAGGAGTAATTTGATTTCACTCACACCGTTACCGTATCCGTACAACGTCTATACATTGTCCAGGCAGCATCCGTGTGAGGTTCTTTGGTGCCCTAAGCTAAAGGCCCGGTACTTAAGGAAAAAAAGTGACCCCAGCCGGAGGAGAGAAAAAGGTGGACCTAACTTGGAAGCATTGATTGAAGGGAAACATTCCCTGAAAAGCGTGGGGTCTCCATTGATGACGGAAGAGAGAGAGACACTGATTTGGCTTGAAATCTTCACTGTTCATCCGGGGAAGCTTCTGGGTTTTCTCTCTATGCCTTCTGAAATGGATTCTTCTTCCACCTTTGCATCTTCTGATTTCTGTTTCATCATGAACTAATCCCCCCTCCTTCGGGGAGGGGTTGAAACTTGCTGTAATAGACGTTGAACTACTATTGAATGCATTTGAACTCTTATTTAATAGCAGTGAATTTTATTTTTTCCATCGTTCTAAACATGTTTGGCCAACACCAAGCTCTTGTGTGGGGATTCGCTGCTGTTAGCCGTAGTTTCTGTGTACTTTCTGAAACAGTGTAGTAAGTACCTAGGAATGGGGTTCACTCTGCAGCACTTATAGATTGGTTTCATGCTTGTTGTAATCACAATKGGAGTTGGGTTAGAACATTTGCTGGGTAACTCGAAAGAGAGCCATGAGGGTCTGGGCTTTAAGAGTTTCATGTGTTTTTCTTCAGTAGGTGATGCTTAAAATCAGTAGGTGGATTTCCCCTCCCCAAGTTCCTAAAAATCGATCTAAACCCTCTCGTGTTCAATCCTTTGGTGGAAGCATTCTGGAAAAGTTTTATTTGTCCTCTTATTCACTGCTTTATTTACATGTTATTTTTACAAGTTACTAACAACATTGATAAACCAACTTCATTTTCTTTTATTAATTTCTTTTTGGTAGCTCAAAGCAATTAACCATTTTCTGTATGCATGAATTCCCTGTAGAGACGACCTTGTTTGTAGTACAATTGACAAAATTAGTGTATACTTGCGCTATAATTCACACATTGTTAGAAAATACAACAAGTTTTTGGCGCTGTTGATGGGGAATTTTTGGAAAACTATATATTGTGGTTAGTTATGTTGAGGTACGGTACTTAAAGACCTTGTTGCTATTTCTCAAGAGTGTGGGAGCTGTGAATGAACGATTTTCCTGCATTTGAATTTGCTTTTTACCTAGAATCGGAAAGAACTTTTTGAAGAAGACTGGTTGAACATCTGAGGCGAAGAGAGGAGGAAGAAATGAATCGCAACGAGCAAAACCCACGTGAGAACGAAGTAGTAAGAATACCAGGGGAAGGAGTTGTAAATATAGTTGTTCACACGAAATTTCTGGAGAAATTATCTTTCGTGGAGTTGAACTTTTATATTGTTTGTATGGATTGTATAGTGGATTCAATCTCTAATCTTTATCTTCTGATTCTTTCTCTCGAACTTGATGTGAAGATCGAAATGCTTGTTCTTGAATTTGGATCGAAGTTATATGTTCTTCGAAAGTTTTCAAGTCTTCAAGTTGGTCTTCGAATCTTCAAGTCTTCAGAGAGTCTTCAATTTGGTGTGAATTCTCTCAATTCTGAAATTCTGAACCTCCAAAATGAATGAGGTCTCCTCTAT